ACACACACACACACACACACACACACACACACACACACACACACACACACACACAGGGGTGGGAAGGTGCCGCTAAGCCCCGCCCCTCTGCTCTCGTTGAAACACGTGATTGGTGAAGTTGTGTTGACAAATCTCGAAATATGAAAAAGAAGTTACACACGGAATCTGCAGCGCTCAGAGACACGTGGAGGTGGTCGCAGCTGTGGACCGACTCCTGGAGGAAGTTTATTCTAGTTTCATAACAGTTTAGTTTACGACTTCACTTCTGTGTCCTCCGCCGGCTGTTTAGCATTAGCCACTAGCTAGCTGGCTAAGTCCGCTAGCAGGAACATGTGAGGGCGCCGCCGCTGTCGCAGAGGTGAGGGTCACTTGAATAACTCCTGTCAACATGGCTGGGCGTGTTGTCTGAACAGCGCCTTGAAGCAACTTTACACGTTAGGTAAACAACTTATTTAACCGTGTGATGTAAACTAACCGGGGTATACTTAACATGTAGCTTTTGAAGTGTCATATTATCTGTTTAACTTTGAACACCGCCTGTTCACAGTGTTTTAGCGGCGGATGTTTCCACCTTATCCCGACTACACCCACTCCACCTTTAGCCCCGAGCCGTGATTAAACCTTGACATCAACGGGAGCTCATGACCCACTGTCAGGGGAAGGGAGCGCGATGAAGCCCCCGGGCAGCACCTCCACCACCACCGGCTTCTTCAACTTCTCCCACGCGGGGGATGAAGCTTCGGACCCCTCTGCTCAGTCCTCCAGCACCACCATGTCCATCGAAAAGCTCTTCCCGGCGCTGCTGCAGTGCTTCGGGATCATCCTGTGCGGGTACATCGCGGGGAGGGCGAACATCATCACCTCCACTCAGGCTAAAGGACTCGGCAACTTTGTGTCCAAGTTCGCCCTCCCGGCGCTGCTGTTCAAGAACATGGTGCTGCTGGACTTCGGGAACGTCATCTGGTCGTTTCTCTGGAGCGTCCTCGTCGCCAAAGTGTCCGTGTTCCTGCTGGTCTGCGTCCTCACCCTGGTCGTAGCCAGCCCCGAGAGTCGCTACAGTAAAGCCGGGCTCTTCTCTATATTTGCCACACAGAGCAATGACTTTGCTTTGGGATTTCCTATAGGTGAGTGTGTGAACCCTTGTTCAAACCTGCTGCCTCCAACACGGCCTCTCATTCACTGCTGTGATCGAGCTGTCTCAGTGCTTGTTCAACCATCACAGCAGAAACGTAATGATCAGTTAGTTACACTGTAGACTACCTGTGTTCCCCAGTGTTTTCTTCTTTTTACACTTAAACGTTTTTATTGAGTCATTCAAATGTTATTTTTTACATCTTTGATCTCTTAGAATAACATAACATACCTATAAATAAAGGAATACAATTTATAGGGAGACTTACCAAGATATGTTGTAAACACATTTGAGTTGGCATCAGTGTTTTCAGGGCCCTTTTAAAAAAATAACATTGCATTCAAAGATACATAAGTGTGAACATTTCACCCAAGTGGTATTCATGATCTTGTACACACACACACACACACACACACACACACACACACACACACGGCTTTGTATATATACTGATCATGCTTAGACTCCACTACCTGCTGTTGAAAAGGACAAATGTTCATTAAATACTGGAACTAACTGTTCTGATTGTCAATTTATACAGAAAATGATAATGTTATGGTGTCGGGCCGGGCAATAAAAGAATACTAATAATAATTGCAATCTAATTTTCATCAAGAGTCCATTGAACATTTTATCTTGATATAATCTTTGGCGGCATCACCCAGAGTTATGCTCACAGTCTGTTTACATACTTGTCCTGCTTTCTCAGGCCTTTATTAAATTTAAAAAATGAACAAACCAATGTAAGCATAAATGAATAACTGGTAATCATGCAAATTTAGAATGGAAAGGAAATTAATGTCAGAAGTTGTTCATGTTCTGTTGTGCATGATTTATAGCAGCATCAATTTTAGTGGTAAACCATGCTAATCTTACAGTTCATATCCAGTTCTGACATTTTGAGTAAGTGTGTTTTATTTTGCTTTCACCTCATTGACTAAAACTTCAGCAACTTTAAAATTACAACAATTTGTCTGCTGCTGGAGTCTAGTCTGAGTCAGCTCACCAGACTTCAGCTCTTTATTTAAATCTAAACCTTTGCAGACTTTGAAGCCAATTCTTGTTTTGCAGTGGCTTGTTTGTTGGTGTTTGTCAAGGCACATATGATGCAATCATGACTCAATCAATAATTGTTCTTAAAGGGTCTGGTTTAAGAACCCTTTTTGTACTCATGGTCATAAATGGGGAGGCCAGGGGTTGCTTGTGTATAGCTAGCAAATATATTTTGTCATTTGGAAATCCACAACATACTGAACCACTTGCCTTCATCTTTATCCACAGTTGAAGCCCTGTACCGGAACACCTACCCAGAGTACCTCCAGTACATCTACCTGGTTGCACCCGTGTCCTTGATGCTTCTGAATCCCATCGGCTTTGCCTTCTGTGAGATCCAGAAGTGGAAGGATCAGGGAAACCACCAGCAGAGCAAACTTCTAATTGTGGGACTTGTAGTTCTGCAGGTCTTAAAGAACCCCATAGTATTCATGGTTGTCATCGGCATTGTCGCCCACTTTGCCCTGCACCAGACAATTCCTGCCTTCATGGCTAACTTCCTGGATGGCTTGGCCAACTCTTTCGGGGGAGCGGCTTTGTTCTACTTGGGTCTGTCCATGGTGGGCCAGTTGAGAAAACTCACCAGATCCACAGTCGTTACACTGATATTACTCATCACCGCAAAACTGTAAGTGAGAAAAATGTCTTTACATCCGCGTATGATGGTCATGACTGTGCGTTATCAGATGACCTTGCATTTTTATAATGAGACGTGTGGTAGGAGTGCAGAGAGAGAGTCAGCAGGTTAGAGCTTTGTGAAGTGCTCTATGGTTTACATGACATAGAGCTTTCTCAGACCACAAGCTTTTTACTAAATGGATGACACGTTAAGAGGGCTCAGGGGTGTGCGGCATAATAATAGCTTGTGTATATAAATATTTTAATAGCGCAGCCGTTCACAGAGCGTGTTAACTAATCCCTGGAATAATGTTATATGACACCAGTCTTTTCATTTGACTTTCAGGTTGCTAATGCCCCTGATTTGTAAGGAGATGGTGGAACTGTTGGACAACAGCAACACCACCTCGCTGAACCACTCCAGCCTCTCCAATTATGCCTTTCTTTATGGAGTGTTTCCCACCGCACCGAGTGTGGCTATCTATGCTGTCTATTACAACGCGGAGCTAGAAGTTGTGAGTTGTTTTCGTCTACCCACCAACCTACTTACTGCCATTCACACACTGCACCTTTGTGTTTTCTTCTTTGTAGCTCACCATATGTATTTTTTTTGAATTCCTCTGAACAGGTAACCTCTGGGATGGTGATCAGCACTTTCCTCTCAGCTCCAATAATGTATGTGTCTGCCTGGTTGCTCACAATGCGAAGGATGGACCCTCAGGTTCTGATGAATTCACTGCAGAATGTCAGCTTTAACATAAGCATAGTGAGCTTAGTTTTACTGGTGAGTCACAGAGAGTCACTTCATTGTGATGTATATATGGTTGTTGTTGGATAATCGTCTATAACTGACTTTATATTGTCCGATTTGCAGGTTTATTGTGTTTTATCCCAATAAAATAGTTAAGTCAAAATAGCATCATGAAGAATTTGTATAGCATGTTTCACCCCATAACTGAAAAAAGTTTGGCCTCCCACCATGTAAGTCAGTTACTATAGTTTAATGAATAAGACGGAATTCAAAAATGTGAGTTAATGTTTTACTGCCGCACAGACTAACTTCCTCATTAATTCTCACTTTCAGTTTATCTTCCAAGGAAGCAATGCAGAAGTGAAACATGTTCACACGTCTTGTGCTTCAGTTGTTTCTCAGTGTTTCTGCTCCTGTCATTATGTTGAGTAATTTAAACTCTCCCTTGCTTTCAAAGTGAGCAACCAGCCAACCAAGTTACATATTAGTTGTATTTAGCATCTGTGCTTAAGTCTTTGCATCAGTCAATGTGAATAATTTGACATATGTGTTTTTTTCTGACAGGTGTGGACAATTGCTGTCATGTTTTTAAGTAAGAAATTGAAAAGGCTACCTCATATTTTTACAGTCAACCTTTTCTTGGCACAAGTGAGCACACGGTCTCTCTTCATATATTGGTTTTATTGGCGCCATGAATTAAATTAGAATACTAATATGTGACATACATTGGTCTCCAGCTTCTAACTTGTATCGGGATGATCCTGTGGAACTTTGTGGTGAAGGAAAACAACTTCATTGGGCAGTACCTGACTTTCACATTATTATGTACCTCACTCTACAGTACCTACGTGTGGCCAGGTATGCTTTGTTTGAACACATCTATCCATTAAAAATACCAAATTCAACTGTCATGTCACTCAATTGGGTTTGTTTGCTAATGTTGTAATTGGTATGTTGTCGTTCTAGGTCTAATAGCGCTCTCACTCGTGCTTGTGAGAAACTCAGAGGATCTGAAAGTACCATCAGGTGTGTTGGTGATCACAGGCTGGGGGTGAGTCATAATTTACACAGAAGTGAAACAAAAAAATTTTTTTTTGATCCCTGATGAAACAACGATCAACTCGGCTCAGTTGTCAGTGATTTTATTGTTGACTTTGTCTTTATATTAACAGGTTTCCAGCCTTAGTAACTGCTGCGTTGCTCCTTTCTGGGGAAAAAATGTCCAACACGATTGACTCATCATTTTTTTATGGAAGATCACAGGTAACATTATGGAAGTTATCTTCCTGTCCTCTGCTGTTTGAGATTTGTGTCGGAACCAGCTGAGAATTACTCAAAAGTCTGAATTTGTGTATATCTACAGATTATCTGCACCATAATAGTAGCCGCCCTTAGCATACTGCTGGGAGGCAGCTCGCTTGTTTGTGTCAGTCGAGGAAGCTGGGCCCAGGATGACCATATCCTGGAGGGAAACTCTTCGTCCGATTTTGCAGAAGATCTCGTGATGGAAGTTGAACCAGAGAATCAGACTCTTTCTGAGCCGGTCACCCCGTCAGGAGATCTCAACAGCAACAACGGTACTTTTCTCTTGTGATAAACAGCAGAGGTGTAATGAATCTCTAAACCAACCCTTTGGTTTGAAAATTACGATTTGAATACTTGAATGCCGGGGGGGGGGGGGGGGGGGGGGAATCGGCTGTCTGCTTCTGGTATGAATGGTGTGTGGTGGAATGGTATCAGAACACAGACACAAAGTCAGTTTAAATTTTTTGTTATCAGCATGCCTCATATGTGACTGTGCACCGCCCCAGCCCATGCCTGACATGATCATCAGCACAAATATTAACAACACACAGGCCACCCTCACAGGTATGGTATTGATACTCCTATCAACACACAACAACCATAACCCTTTAATATTGTTTGAAAAATACATTTCTCAAAAATTCAGTTAGATTCAGTATTTTAAATCTATCTATCTATCTATCTATCTGCTGCCCCCCTCAGCTCAGTGTGAGAGGAGGTGCGAGTCAACAGACTGCCTGCTCGTCCAAGTGGAAGAGCTCCAACAGGTGGCAGACAGACAAGTGGGCCGTCATGTGCTCTTGTGTCTGCTGCTGACTGTCAGCTTGCTTGCTGTGAGTAAACCACCACCTTTCACTTCCATACATGAGTACGTCTGCATTATTACATCCAGTGCAGCACGAGCCAAATCAGACAAATGACTGAGCTGTGTAATTTCTCCCCCCCGTCAGTATCAGAGGTAGATTTCTCCAAATAGACCTGTTCAGAAAACCCAAAAAGAGATACAATATTAGAATCCAAAGAAATATCATTACAATAAGTGGTTTTGAGTTTCTGTGAATCTGTCTTCAATATGTCATTCCTGCTTTGACAGAACTTGTCCAGCTGCCTGTGGTTACTCTTTAACCGTGTTCCTGGTAGACTCTACTTGGAGCTGCAGTTCTTCTGTGCTGTGGCCAACTATGGACAGGTTTGGCTCCAGTGAATGTATTTCCAGGATTATGACTGTGTGTTGTTGCACCATACTAGTGTGATGACATGTTTTCTGTTTCCAGGGTTTCCTCTCCTTCGCTCTATTTGGGCTGGACAAGCATTTGATTATATTACCATTTAAAAAGAGGTAAAGAATATTTGTGTTCCAAAACTCTCACACTCTACATACACTTTTTTGTGCAATGTAAATCTAAACATTACATGTACTTGTTTACTGTACTATAAAGTATACTGTTAACATGCCTTCCTTTTTTTGTGAATGTATTTTAGGTTATATAAACTGTGGTACAGAAGGAAGCGAGAGGAGCAGCTGCAGAGTGATTTACCCGAGGATGTCAGGATGACATGCACCAAGTTCACAAAGTACCACAAGGACCAGTGTTTTCATGACATTGTTAAGAAGAAAAGGTGAGAGCACACATGAGCTGCATGACGTGCACTGAACTCCGGACTTTTTCCTGAAGTTTTCCAGTGGGACTGTTTGTAAAAACACAAATGTCCATGTCAGTTGCTTTGGACATTTTCCGGGACTTTTCTTGCCAGCCCCGTGGTAAAATGTTAAAATGTCATGTGAAAATACAAAATATTGAAAAAACTAAATTAACAATCTAACAATATCCTGCTGTGTTCTTCATATGAGAAAAGCTAACTTTTGGCTCTGTCTGCTTCTCCTCTCATCTTGTAGCTACTTAAAAACAAAAAAAAAGTGAACAGATGTGGGTGAATGCTTCTTTTTGACTTCCAGGTGTGGGAAGAAGGCTACGGTTGACTGCTTTCTTGGCTGTGAACTTGTGGAGTGGCTTCAGCAGGTCGGCTTGGCTCAGGACCGTGGTGAGGCGGTACTCTACGGGACGCAGTTACAGCAGGGCAGCGTGCTCCAGCACATCAGGCAGGAATACGACTTCCAAGACAGCCAGCTGCATTACCGCTTCATAACTTAAGACAAAAAGATCAGGGTTGACAGTTCCCACATTTCTGATCATAGAAAATAACGAACTGAAGGAATGACGCTGAACTTTCAAGAGTGCACACTGAAATTTCAGCTTGCATTGTCATACTGTGGTCTGCACCCAACAGCAGTTGGGTGTTGAAACAGACATCATGGGGATGTTTGGTGTTGCCTGAGTGCAACATGCATGAAACTGAAAGGCCAAGGCACTATGCAATACTTGAAGTGGTTTTAAAGGGAATTACAAATTAAAGGGTGTGTGTGACAGATTTAGTGGCATCTCAACAGGTGACATAAAACATGAAGGGACCAGTGTAGAGCCAGAGTTTGGTTTGTCTGTTGTGGACTATTTGAGAAAAATGCCAGAACAACATGGCGAATGTAGTGAGTAATAGAAGTGGCAGTTGAAATCACTTGTGTGGAAAAACTAGAGCTCTAGTTTAGTCACAAGGTCGGTCTTCAAATTCTAACAAATCTATAAAACAGACTCCTCAGATTATCTTGCAAGTTAATATTGGCTATTCTCTGGTTGTTCATTTACGTGTCTGTGTTCCTGACTGTTGAATTGACGTCACTTGCAGACTTTAATCTGCAGTAAAGATTTTTCAGTGAAATATTAATATGACTAACTTCAAAACTTAGAGGTGTTAAACTTCAAGGTGTTTGCTTTTAATAAGCATATTTTCAAGATAAGTATTTCTAATCCTTTGGGGTGGAACAAGACTTGAATATTTTCTATGTAGTAAATACACTGGAATTTGCAGTACTCTATTTTATGGTATTATGTGGGGGGGGGGGGGTTGCAGGGAGTATTCTATTGATACACCTCAGATTTTATTTTTCGCTTTTCTACCAATAATACTCGCCAAAGGGAATTTGTGGTTTTTAAATCCTGGTTAATTTTTTATAGTTTTTTCTCGTCAGTTTAATGTTTAATTCGTAATGTAGGATTAAGCAGAAATAATGTTGCTTTGGTCACATGCAGCTTAATGTGACTCTGCACTGATATCGAACAGGGATTGTACCAGTAACCAGGGATGTGTGAGCGCACAGTTCTAAAAAACAAGCAACCAGTTTAAAAAAAAAAAAAAAAACTTCCTCAGTATTTCCATTGCCGTTATATTCGTTAAATGTTGTTTTTTTAATGACAAGCAGTGCAAACAGCATTTCAAGGACAAATATTCACTCCCTCACATGAACTTTATGAATGTGGGAATCTCATGAAAGTTGCTTAAGTAGAAGCTGCTGTAATTCAAAGTTTCACTCAGGTACATTTATGTATATAAAATTCAGCTTGAAACTTTCTTTTTTTTTCCCTAAGTGCAAAGATTTGAGTTTATTATAAACCTGATCATGTTGAAACTAATGTTGGTCTTTTTAATAAAAAAATATTTAATTTACAGATCAGCACAAAATGTCTGTCAAAGGCTGCATATTTAACGTTTTGATTTATTTTAAAATAAAATTTACAACTGAACCCTAAAAATCGTGTATCTTGTCATCTGTGCATTAATGTAATTAGAATATTGCATCCATTCTGTCCAAGGCTGCTTCTTTTGATTTGCACAATGGTGTTATTTTAATATGCAAGCATGATGTTTGTATTTGAACCTGACTGAAAGGCACAAGCTACACAGACTGATACTGTCATACTTAAGAAGTGTTATGAGGTTGTCTCAGGCTTTTCAGCTCTTGCTGTACAGAGCCATCTCCTCCTGGACAGAGTTCGGGAACAGATTTGCGAAATAATCAGGCTGCTCAACACCATTTGAAAGAATCTTCTCCATCCGTGAAATGTTCTCCTTTTCTAGTTGCCTCATCGAGTCTGTGATCTTCTTTCCTCTGTCCTTTAAAAGTCAAAAAGAAGATAAATAAATTTTATGCAGACAGTGACCACAATGAACTAATTGACACATGTAGGTAAACTGCAGGCTTGAATTAAATTGTTGAACCTTGTAAGAGTCAATGATGGCAGCCACCACTTGGTGTTTGACAAATAGTTCGTGTTTGCGGTCCGGTTTGCTCTGAAAGCGAGGTTTCTTCTTCACAGGGTCATTTGGGCCGTAACTGGGAGAAGTCGTCTCCTTCAGCTGATTAGTGTGTGTCACAAAGACAAACGGCTTGAACACAGACCTGTTAACACAAAGAAGTCAGAAGTAAATCATCACAAACTGCAGTGAAACTGAATTCATAAAGACGTCTCCCCAGCAGAAGAGATTTCAAGTTATTTACCTTTCAGGGTCTGGAGTGGCTGTAAAATAGTGAACCCCTGGCAGAGCAGGATTCATGGGGATCACAGACACCATACTTCCTGTAGTCATGAACATGCCCTCCATGTTGATGCCACTGTCTTTATCCCTCAGGATGTCTATCATCGTCTCAGCGGTGATGTGGCCTTCAGTAAATAAAACCAATACATGCATAAACAGCGGTAAAAGTCATGTAAAGATTTGCCTGATAACGGTCCCACATTTCCACAATGAAGGACAAAAGGTTAACATAAGTATAAATAAATGTAGAAATATATAAATACAGAGATGTAGAAATAAATTAATAAATCAATAAATAAATAATTGTAGAAATACATATATCAATTTAGGAATATATAAATACAGAAACAAAAAAGTTTAGAAAAATATAAATGATAAAGGAATGAATAAAAGAAAAAGGCACAAAAATAAACTTAGAAATAAATATAGAAACACATATATAAATGTATGAAAAATTAAGAGACAAAAACCTGTAATAAATAAATTTTGAAAAACTGAAATAATCTATGTCATCACTGTATTCAACTATTTATTTCTACATTCATTTACATAATATATATATATATTTGTCTGTCATATTCCACAGTGCAGTGCATAGTAACAAACCTTTGCTCTTTTCCAACAACTTCTTCCCCTCACAGTAGCGGCTTCCTGAGGCCTCAATTCTGGCTGTGGTCATGAACGAGTAGACTGTGGCGAAGTTGAACTGAGACTCTCCGTCCCACCAGCCTTTGCTTCGTGCGTATTCCCTCAGTTGTGGATGTTCCTTGTCTATCTTAGATGTAATGCCATACTGGTTTGAAATGTTGCGATATCCACCTGTGAAAAAGGATCAAATGTAATGATCAGCCATCAAACTAAAAACATACAGTACATGTAGAATTAGCAGCAACTTCAACAATGCAGTTTTTTATTAGGACAATACATATTCAGGCAGAGCAGTTGTAGCATATGTACCGAGTGGAATGCTTTACAGTTAAAAAATTAACTTACCAGTGCTCCTATGTAATGGAGATACTGCAATACATTATACATACTGTGTACTGTGTATTAGTGTTGCAACTTCTTGCCATTTAATGGAAGACATGCACACATACATTAACCAATATGAATTAATAGTGATTAGTAATTTATCTGGTGGGTTGTACCTGCAATGAGTTTTAATCTTTAAACAGCCATATTTAGGGGACCGTTATCTATGAGTGTTTAGAATTTGGTGCAGATCCAAATGAAAATCAAATCTAGTGAATTGAAATGTGGTCTCATAAGGGGACTGCTCCACTGACTGCCATTCTAGTTTATTAAAAAAATGATTTAGATTTGAAGTAACACTATGTGACTTTTGCTGAGCAACAGCGCCCTCTACAGCCACATGTGGTGATTAATTCTGTTGAGCTCTTGGGTTTTCATACAGAGAAAACAAAGCCTATCAAGATCTTGACCGGAGCTCTATATGATTTAAAGTCTAAGAAATATTGTAGGCTGAATAATAAAACATATTTTGACTTCTGTTGCACAAGCAAAGCAAACAAGCACTGATACCTAGTCTCTTTTTCTGTAGATCTTTCTCACCTTCTACTTTTTCTGCAGCCCAGTGCTTCCCTGATGTTTCCAGCAGCCAGGCCTCCTTCCTGTCTGAGATGAGGAAGCTGTTGTGGTAGGTGAAGCCAGACTCGTCCTCCATGCAAGATCCTCCCTGACCATATTTCTCCAGCAGCTCAGTTATGACATCCACCGCTTTCTCTGCCGTGTCTGCTCTCTCAAGTCCTAGCCTGTGTAAAGAGTACGGTCACAGCTTTAAGTGTTTTTCCCAAATTTACACTGAACTGAAAAAAGTCATGGGAAGAAGAACAAAAAAAAGCCTGGTGCTTTGTTATTAAAGTTTGATTTGCACCAACAGATGAACATAGTTGGAACTAAATGATTCAAGACAAAGTTAAAACTCAAACTAGAATTAAAGGATGTTTGTCTTCTTCCAGCTATTAATTATTGTTAATTACTCTTCATTGTCATGCTGTCCCATCAACACTAGTACTCTGTCCTTTTATCTGTTGGATGGTTTGTTTGTTTTGTAGCAAGATTACACAAAAACAGCTGAACAGTTTTCCACAAAACTTGGTGGATGGATGCAGAGATGGAACCCATTAAGTCTGGTATGGACCCAGATCAGGAGGCAGATCAAGGAATTTTGTGAGATAGGATGTTTTTCCACTTTTTCCCAGTTTTCCCATGGAAACACTCATAGATCTTGAAGGGGGGAAAATCTAGAAAATTCAGTTTACTGAGATCTAGACTACGAGTGTGTTAAATTTGGTGCAGCTTGATTGAATTTGAGGTGAGTGTTGGTGGAGGCATTAAGTCAATTTAGTTTCTAGTTGTCTGACTTTATGATTTATGATTAGTTTTTCTTAATTACTTTTATTCTTATTTGGCTGTTTGTTTCTCAGGTGTAAAAGAGATCTTAATCGCAATTTCCTAGTTACGTAGTCGTGATTAAATAGAAATGTAATATGAATTTCAGAAGTATGGTGACAGAGTATGGCACCAACAACGGCTTAAAACTGCAGACAGCTCTGTTTACAGGTGGTTTACCTGACAAGATCCATGCCGAGAAGAGCCTCATCCCCATCAGCGCTCTCTCTGCCCCACACTGCCTCGTTCCCAATGCAGACTTGATGCTCATTGGCACCCATCTCCGCCCCCCACAGCCAGGCTGGTCTGCTCAGCACGACTGCATATGTGTGGGCAACCTGGTCGATCTCTATGTACGTACACTTAGAAGACAAACAAGACACAGGGGCAGAGTCTGTTAATGGTTGTCCACTGAGGAAACTGAGGGTTGGAGGGCAATAACAAGCTGTCTGTGTGTCACCCACCTCAACCTTCTCCTCTGCACCGTAACATTTGGCAGGAAAATACACCACCTCCTGGACTTCATCACAGGGCCTGTCAGAGTTTTTCCCGAAGACGATGCGTTGTCCCTCAGTGGAGGGGGGCAGAGCCACAAAGGTGTCACAGGAGGAAGGCTGCATTTTAGTTTTCATTCAGTCCCAAACCTGCTGAGAGGAAACACAGAGAACAATCCACTGGTCAGATTACAGCTATGACACATGCACTATGTCTAATGATCACATCTAAAGATCTATTATAGTATAAACATCCACCACACTAAAGCACAGAATGCTCTGGTTTAGGTTCAGATTTAGATTCAATAAGAGATAGATAGATTACTTTATTCATCCCCAAAGGCAAATTAGGTAAATGATAAATAAATGAATGAACTGTGATCTCTGATGCCAGAAGTTTAGTATAATGTCAACAAGACATCGAGGTCATCTCACCTGTGTTTTCCAGTCGAACCGAACAACCACTGTCAGTTTCTATTCTCATCTGTGTTGACCACGTGATCACACTCTCTGACACGGAAGCACTGCAGTCACGTGACCTGGAGGAAGTTGGTTTTGTATTTGTCGTAAAGCGGATGGAGAACAAACATTTGTTCACATTTCACACG